TGAACGGTACTTTAATGTAATCAATAGCTCATAAATCATAAAATATATGTAGCTAAAAAAAATTACAAATTTTTTTTAAATAATGTATATAGCAAGTAATTGATTATTTTATTATAAATAGGTTACCTTTTATGTGTAATTTTTCGGTAACCATAGAATAGAAATAACAATACAATATTGCTGAAAATGTACACTTAAACAACAAAAGTACCAACACACTAAAATATATATGCTACAAGCTTTTCGTTACAGTTTGATTGACCACTTTAACTACGAAGTAGTTCTTCCACACAAATGCTGTACTTTAACTGTCTAGTTGGTGATGTATATGTTTACTTTTATTCAATTTTTCAAAATAAAACAGTTTGATAAAATTGTATTGTTTCTCTTAGATTTTTGTTAGACAAAAGAAAATTTAACCTACGCCCTAATGATATAATTATTTTCTCAGAAAAGTTATACACGTCATCATTCATTTAGATCTCACATTATCTTTGATAAATAAAAAGTAAATATATGTCGAAAGAAATTACATAGTTTTTGTGGCTCAGATGAATTATATCTTAATTGAAATAAACGTTCATTAAAACCTTTTAAAATAAATTTTCGTTTTTTTTCATTTAAGTTTTACTTATCTTTAAATATTTCTACCATTATTTGTTATTGTACTTCCGCCATTGTTTGCATAAATGTTTGTTTTTTAAAGTTAACAATATTTAAAAGTTGTTTAACATTGAAATATTAAGTACAGGGAAGAATTTTTATTTTAACACTGAACATTATACTCTAATCCTACTTTAAATTTAATATTTTTAAAAATAAATAAAAACCAATAATAAACAAATTTTTTTTATAATTCACTATATATATGAAAAGTTTAATTTGTATATTAAAAATATATAAATATTAGTTAATTTTGTTATGAATTTTAATTAATATGCGATACAATTAAATTAATTAATTCTCAACTATTAAAAACCTAAAAACTCATAAAACCCTATAAATTATCATAATTACTGAGATGATCTCAATGATTTAGATTATTAAATCTTAAGAACGTCAATTTTTCTAATTTAAAAATTATAAATTTAGCATAAAAGTCAAAAAACATGTTTTAACACATGCGATATACACGTTACAAAAAATACATAAAAATATTTTTTTTAAACAAATAACTGAATTTAAATTATATTTCAACAATACTTAAACAAATTTTATTTATTGTAAAATTATTTTTATCTAGAAATACTATACAGAGTATCACATTATGTTCTAAATAAAAATATAACTTTTATATTTATACTATTAGATTAAAATTAGTTATTGCGTACTAGTATTAAAATTGATATAATCTATAAACAAACGTTGTTGTTTAATTAAAAATTGATAAACTAATTCGTATGATTGTTGAATAACTGTATATGTTTTGAAGTATGTTTATATATAATCATACTAATAACATAATCATTATTAAGAAGTTGTAATAAAACCAGTATTTTTTAACACAATTCTGATTTTAAAAGTCGACTGAAGGTTTATTAAAATAAAATTATGTGTGAAAAATAAATATATGATAAATATTGATATAAGACACATGTGATCAACTATTTTTGAATAATACAAATTGTTAACCTAAATTATAAGATACAAGTACTTTTTACCAAATATTCTAACACGATATTCCCTTCACAACAATATTAAGATATATATGAAAAATAATTTCACAATTCTAAATATTAAATTAATAAAGATATTGAACTAGCTAGTTTTAAAAATAAAGTACAAAAAATATTCAATAAATCAAAATTTGTAGGATTTGTCAGAACATTTAGGTACACTGTATAATCTTATCCTTTCTAAATATTTATATTTGACTAATATCTTCAACATAACCGCAAATTAGGGAGGCTTTTTCCAATTGTAAAATAAATCTCGTCAAAATTTCAGAAAAACTATATATTTATATAAAAACATAAATTAGAGGGGGGACGTTAGATATAATAAACCTCTCCGAAAATTTTGTTGAAGTTGCGTCTAACTGATTGTCAATCTATTTTTTTATTCTTTTCAAGTTTATAGTTATCCGCATTAGCCATGAAATCATATTTGATAAAGTTTTGCATCACGAGTCATAATAATATTGTTGTGTGATAATCATGAAAACTTAATAGGATAACCTACATAGCTCCTACTCGTGAAAAACCATGCAAGTAGTAAATGAAGATAGTTTGACTTAACAAGACTACATTTTAGCAATTTAAATATGATTTCTTGTCAACTTATTTATAGTTTTGATTAACCAAAGCAAGTTTTCTATTAACTAAATGCTCAAGTGTTTTAACAATTAAACTTTAGTACAGAGAATTTGTATTCTAAAATTTAAAAAGAATTTTTACTCTCTAATATTAAAATTATTATCTGTGTAAATGAGGCATTAAGGATAAATTATGACTAAATGGAATTTTAAGCATTAATTAAAAATAGAATTAACTGAACCAAGGTAAAATATATCCCTACATTTTATTCGCTTGAAATCACTTACTTATCCTCAGCATTAGTAACTATACCTCAAATACAAGTATTGAGATTTGTTTCGCACACAACACAAATAGAATTTTTCAGCTCATTGATTCAATTTTTTACGGTCATATAAACTGTTTGTTCTTGTCAGATAAGAGCATCGTCACCTGGGACTTAAATAGATTTTGCGGAGGGAGAGAATTCAATACAATTTCGTATTCAATGAAATCAAATACTCTGTTTCAATCGAATACAGTTCTAAGAATTGTTGAGTGAACTTAAATGCGAAGTCTAACTTAAATTACTATAAATTTCACTTTGGCTAACCAATGACAACTATACATAGGAAGTCTATTGTATCACTAGGTATGTTGTTTTGTTAAATTTTCGTCATTGGTTATTTTGTACATAATAGAAAATTGTGTGTGACTAGCTTGTTTATAAAAGAGCATAAGCGTATCTATACTTATTTAAGTTTATTTTAAGTTTATTCCCTGTTGTTATCTGACAGCCACTGTAGGAAATGATACACATTTATTTGGATCTATGAATGTAAGCAATAAATAATAAACATAATATATGTTATTGTCGTTAATATTATTTCATTTTGACAAAGTGTCGCTTCCCATTTTATACTTGACGATTTATGTCCGTTTTTTTTTATGAAAATTATAAAAGAACCATTATGTTGAATAAGTTTTAATTTTAACTCGAATGTTAAAATTTAACTGCTGATAAAGTTAAGTTAGATTTGAAATCTACACAGTATTTATTTTATTATTATTATTAAAAATTTAATAATAACACACTGTGTAGTGTAATTTTTTTTTTTTTATATTTATAATCCAACACGATATATTTTAAATTATTCAATATAAAATACCTACCTACCTCCTATTTCATGAATTTTACGACTGAAGAAATGCCGTGTCAAAATGAATAATCTTTTACCGTATTATTTTATTTTTTTAATTTTCTGTGCATACTACCAATAAAAAAAAATAATAATAAATAATTTTTACGATCTAATATTGACGAAGTGTAGTAATTAAAACTTCTAAAAAACTCTGTTGTGATTTAAATGAGCTTATCTTAATGCTAAATAACTTTAGACTACTTTGTATAATAAATGTAAGATTTATATTTTGAGCTAAAAGTTAAAAGTTCATAGAGCTGATTATGACGTGAAATAAACTTAGCTTTTTCTATCAAACTCGGAAAAAATATTTCCGAAATGAGATTACACATCGAATATGAATATTGCAATTTGAACCTTAGACTCGAAAACGTTGCAAAGGGAACCAAAATAATTATTCTGCAAAAGCATATGTGTCTCTAATGTCAATTAACTAAATAATTATGCATAAGGGACTATCAAGTCGTAACATGATTGTTTTACCTTTTATACTTAGTAATCATTAATGATAAGTAGTTGGGTTCTCAATCACTTAAAATGGCATTCTCATACAATGGTTATTAAATAGAAGTTAAAGACCTAATATAACAATATTTCCCTGAATTCGTACAATTACGACCAATTTCCACTGAATTTCTTATTTCAAATCAAAATAAGTGGAAAGACCCATGACAGATCATCAGAAACATTTAGACAGTAATTTCGGAGATATTTATTCCTAATAAGATCTAATGATATTTTCAGAAAATATATCATTAAACTCGGGAAGCAATAGTGGTATGTTACTTGCTAAAGACAAATTCAATGATAAAAATCATTAACTTTATTTAATAATCATATTTTAAAACAAATTTTATTGTTGTGGTTTCTAATGTGGTTTATTTTTAGTCATTGAGTATATTAAGTTTTAAATATATATTGAATACAGTTAAATCGTATAAATTAATTTTATTTCAAAATAATAACACATCAACTTATTAAAAGTTTTATTACAACTTTTTAAATTATCTTTGTTTTAAAAAAAGCTATCTTGACTCTATTACAATTTGTTTTTTTTTATAAATCATGTTTTCATACTAATTTTATTTATCTGGTAATAATCATGAGGTTTCTCATCATTAAATAAAAAAAAAAAATAGTGTTTGTAAACAGTAACTATTTAAAATAATGACATAGTAATTTAGTTTAAAAATTTTTAATTTTAAGTCAGATGTGTACAAAAGAGTTCAGACCTTTTACATACTTTCCTTATGGCATATCTTTTTTATAAGAAACTACTTCATAAACAAATTTAATTTATACTAAATATCAACCAATATTAAAGTTATCAAATATATATATATATATATACAAACATAAATTATAACAATTACAATCATTAAAACACATTTCATGGAACAATTCATTAAATAATTAATAAATTATTATGTACATAATAAAAATATTTTCTGTTGTTAAAAAAAATATATATATTCATTAAATTTTATTAAATAGTTCAAATTATTTCAATTATAAATTTTAACAAAATCATCCAGTTAAGATTTGAAAACTAACATTTTCATCATATAGTTACATTAATCATGTAATCAAGTCAAAGACATTATGTATTTTAATGGCTAATTACGAACTATAAATATTTGTTTATTATATGAAATTAAATTTTGTATTTTTAAATATAATCTAGATGTTTTAAAATAATATTTTTCTTTCGTGTCTTTTATTAAATAAACAATTAACAAGACAATAAATTTAACTATTTCGAATAACTCATTTGATATCTAATATTTTTAATAAATATTTAGACTAATGTACTAATATATTAAACTAATGGTTCACACAGAAAAATGTCTAATGTGAAAAAGTTAATTTGGAAAATTTTGTTTTTATTGCACAAATAAGTGTTTTTAATTTTTTCATAGAATAACAACTTATTAAGATATTGTGCTAGGCAATTTTCATTGTATCAGCTATTTTCCTTAATCTGACATTAAGAAACATTACAATTTTTGTCTTTTAAAAAATTATTTTAACTTGCGTTTATATTATATATATATATATATTAATAATAATAATAAACCGTGAAAATTTAAATTTCAATCGGTTGAAAAGACCCGTACAATACATTTTATTCAATCACACGTAATAGTGAAATTACCAACTTAAGCGTGAAAAATTAAAGCTTCATAAATATTTTTAACGTATAAATAAATTTTGATTTCTTGAAAAATATTCGACTCTGTTATACAACAACATTTTTTTCTTGTTTCCTTTTATAGATTTCTATTTTTTTTTTTTTATCAACAATACACATTATTGTAAAATTAATTTTTTCTCAATCTCATAACTTAGCTTATAATAAATATAGTATTTATAATCATGTTTTAATTTCATTAAAAAAATTAATAAAAGCTATTAATCTGAAGTCTAACATGCATAAATGCTGTTTCGAAAAACTTTTATCTCTATCCATTAATACAAGTTTGATCGTGTATGTGTTTATAAATCCTATAATTTTTGATACAGTTACTATTTGCAATTTTTTTTTATATAATTTTTACACTCTAAGACTATAATAGGTAAATAAATTATAATTTAACTATTTTTAGTTTATTTAGACATTTAAAAAAATTAAAAAATCACTTTAAAATAATTCCAAGATAGCCATTTTATAAAGTAGATGTTAAGAAAAAAATTGATAGCAAATTTCTATAAATATATTGTAGTTAAATTTCTAGAGAATTTTAAAGTTTGTGAAAATTTTAATTTGTAATTTTATTTTATCATTACACAATATCAAACGTGGGTATTTGTTATTTGAAAATGAATAGAAGAGAATGAGAATCAATTATCGCTAAATTTTGCTTATAGAGACATTTCCGTAAAAAATATCATCATTGGAACGAGTATCTAAGTTAAGTGAAAAAACGCATATTATTTTGTATTACTTTATGACAATTCGTAATAAATAGTACATACTAAAAAAATCACTAGGTAGCCGTAAATTATGAGTATAACTTAGGATTTTGTTGAATGTTAATTGATAAGAATTATTTAACTACTCATCAGTTAATTTGTTTATTGTTGTTTGTTAAAAATATACACATGTTTTCTTTATTATTTAAGACAATTTTTTAGTTAACTACGCTACAGTCCTAACATTAAACATGTACTGTGATGAATATAAATAAATATTTATATTAATAATTATTATTAATTATTATTTACTCCTTTTGTTTGTCTGTATCTTTAATTACAGCTATTGTAATCCAGAACTATTTAAATACATTTCAACTTATTTACAATAAAATATTTTTTCGTTTTATTAAAATTAAAAGTTGTTTTATATAATGTGCACATATGTTGTGGTTTTTCTTTTTAACATAAAATTAATATGCTGAGTTTATATGGTTTAAATCTGTGTTTATATTTAAAACTGATATACCAAATTCATCTAAGCGTTTCACTAAAGTGAACTACAAAAGTTGTAATCAATAAATGAAAAACACACTTAAAGTTTATAATACGTGGCATAGCAGTAAAAAACTCTATCTACAATATATTGAACATCGTCAATGTTACAATGAAAAATTAATAAATCATAAAATTAAAAAAATATATATTAATGATAAAAGAATAATTGATAAATTAGATAGACAATAATGGAAGTATAAAATATACTATAATAATTTTTCAGGCAGAATTTAATTTCGATTATTTTGGCTTGTTAAAAAGTAATATCAAAAAGATCTTATACTAAATACATAATTAAATTTTACTATATTTGTTTTTCATTTCAATTTGATACTCATTCGAGGAATATTTTTGATAAAAAAATTATGCCCATAATCAATATTATTTAAAAAAAATCGTGTTTTCATCTATCAATTATTTAACAACTAATTCCGAATTTTTGATATAGGTTATAAAAAACTTACGAATTAAAATGATCATAAAATTTAAAATGCTCTAGAAATTTAACTATAAAACAATAGTAAGATATTTGCTATTTATATTATTATTGAAGTCCAAAAGCGTAAAAAGAATTTTTTTTAAGTTCTTTAAAATAGACACTGAATCAAAAGTTACAGGTTTTTTCAGAATATGTGGGACAATCTTGTATGTGTGGCACTAAAATGTTATGTTCACGTGGCTATTTTTTCATGATATAACAATGAAACTTGTTATATATAGTAAAAAATTTGCTTTGAATAATACAGGAAATTGAGAAATGGAATTTTTTGTACTCGAAGTTTTTTGTTGTATGGCAATAATACAAAACCATTTTCATTTCAGATTTTTGAGATTTATGGCTTTAATGCAATTTAAGGAAAACGTTTTCATTCGTTTTAGATATCAGCGGACATTTGAATCGATGTTAAATATATTTTTCAAAAAAATATTCGTATGTTTTTAAACTTCTGATAAAATATTAAAGTTTTTCATATCCGTTAACAAATCAGCATTCCGTCAATCTGTGTCACGGATATTACCATGGACTCTATCGGTTGTTTTTTCAAAGTTAATAGATATTTTTCGTAAGTCCATATTTCATCAACTCAGTACTCCATTTAATTACCAAAATAAATAAAATAAAAGCACCCTGTTCATTTGTAAAAAATAAAAACATTTCAAAACAGCGATGACGAATAACCTCTTTTTAGACTTGCGTAACTTGTGTAGTAGTTGGGTTACCTAGTGATATCCCTTGGGCATTGGATTTAGGTATCCAAGCTGGTAAAAAAAGTAAACTAAACGTGTTTCGAAATTGCCTACTCATGACACAGTAGAGTATGAAATTAATGGCCGAGTTAACTAGTGCCAACATATCCATGACATCGCCCATGTTTTGGTAACAATCTTGAAAGAACTTTTTGCCTAATAGCAATGTGAGCAACCCCAGAATACCTTGTGGAAATTCGGTGATAAGAAATAAAAAAAGCACAGCCAATAACATGCGGGTAGTTCGGTCCGTTTGCCGTTCCTTGTCGGCAGATTTACGACTGCTAGCCGTAAGTTTAGCTCTACGTTGTTTAGCTTCCAAAAGCGCGCAGATTAACCGCAAACTGAGTACAGTCAAGGCAATACACGGTATAATTTTTATCACCACGCTGTATACCCAGAAAACGATGTCGGATAAACAAGTCGTAGCGGCGAGATCACTAACGTTCACAAAATACAACGTCACGTTGCGTAGCGGACCAACCACATCCGATCTGTTAGCAGAGGGACGATTGCCTACGGCATCCAACAACTCCACTCTGGATATTAAGTTGAACGTAAGATAGCTAGGTATGCAAATTAAGGGACAGATCAAATAACCCAAAGCAATTGTCGATAGTGTTGTCTCCATCCGGCACCATATCCTATTAATTTGCGGATGGACCACTGCCACATACCTGAGAAAAGTTAAAAACGCAACAATTAATATTGTAAATGTATAAATAATTTAGTTGAATATTCAAAGACTTTATAGTTAATACAATCATAAATGTATTTTATGTTAATTTTATGACAACCGATGTATTCAAACTAAAATATTTTTTAAGCATTCGCATTATTTTATTTTAACAGCTTTCATATTATAAAAGTATCATAACTCACAACTCTAAAAGTGCATATGTAGCACACGGACATTTGACAGCATGGATTAAAACATGTTTATTTTTTTGTTAGTTTTAAAGAAAGTTAAAAAAAATCAGTTTTACGAAGAGTACCAAAATGTTTTAAAAAGACAAATTATCCAAAAATAGTGATATTTGAGGTGAATTATTCAAGATGAACATTAGAAATTTACCCGAACATCCAAATATGAAGTCTGTCGAATATTTTCCCTAATTTTTTTTTTTTTAAATTACTTATCTCGACTATTATTAATTTTTATTACATTATTCCAAAAAATTGTATATTCGTTTTTGCAATTCAATGGCTTCATAAAATTTACGCATTTCTATGGTTTTATAATATTTTTTTGTTTATGCATTTCAATGGCTTCAATTCTTTATATTTCTACAAACTGTTATTTATTAAATTAAAATATTCAAATTAAAATTATTAGTTTTTTATATTAAAACCATTTATAATTATATCCTACGTATTTTCCATTATTTTATCGAATATTAGTAAAAATGATTAACATTTTTATAAGAAGTATGAAAAATATGTCCATTTAGTAGAATGTGGGATTGAAAAATAAAATTATAAAACTATAAGCAATTATAAGTATTAAATAAATTCGAACATGGTGTATTAAGGTATTTTTAAAACTTTTAACAATTTTTAAAATGAAGTTTGAAAAAGAAATACGATTTAAAGAAATTGTATGTAATTTGTAATGTTAATAAAGTTAGTATACTCTTACTAAAGTTATGATTATTAAAAAAATCTAATTTATAAAATAGCAAGAAATTCATTAGTTTGGCTTATATCATTTAAGAGAAATATGGTAAAAACGCTTATTTTTCATAAATTATGTAAATATTTGCGATAAATAGATCTGTAAAGCTTTTAATAATTTAAATATTGAGATCTAAATTCTAGTACACTTTAATATAAGGATTCAGTTTCTTAGTTTAGGACACTAAATATATAAGATAAAAATAAATCTTAACCATTCTACCAAAGAAAGTAGAATATAGTAATATTAAATTTTAAAAATCAAAAAATTATGTGATTTTATACAATTTATTATGCGGATTTAATATATAATTTTAATAACAACTAATTGGGCAACTTTGAGAGTGTAATATATAATGTACATTTGCTTAGTTCATAAATTATGAATTATATTACTATGGTGTCAAATTTTCAGTTTTAACATTTTCAAAAAAATTACCTAACAATTTAATTAGAAATCTAAAAGATAATTTTTTTAATGGAAAATTAGCTTATTTCACTCCTGTTGAAGTACTAGTTATAAGACGTTATGGAATTGATTTCATTTAATCAGAAAAATAAAACAGTTGCTTTTTCCACTTAGTCGATATTTGTTAATTCATAATCAATGTTACTTAGATGAGTTTATTTATTTGAGTCATATTTATAAACAATATAATACGCAGTAAATACGAGATAACAGGGCCGGATTTAGGGGAGGGCTGAGTGGGCTGCAGCCCAGGGGCCCCCACAAATTTGGTATACATTGGTATCACAAACATAATAATAATTGTTATTTAATAAGTAAAAAAATATATTTCCTTGTTTATGTATAAGGGGCCCTTACAATGCATTCCGCCCAGGGGCCACCACATATCTAAGCCCGCCCCTGCGAGATAACCTTTTTACTGCGAATGTTGATAATTTCTTCACTGGTGATAACTTATCGACAAGTCAACTGAAGTAAATGAAGTACTCTTGAAAATAATTAACAGGGATAAATGTAATGAGCCTCGATATTTGTGTTATATTAGAAGTTTTCATATTAATGTTTTATAAAACTTTGCTAAACCAAAAGTTTCGCAAGATTTGGTGTTAACTATTATTAAGACAATAAAACCAATCTATTAGGTATATTCTTCAAATACTATTAAGTGTACCGAATAATAAATCTACACTTAAATGACGTCCGTTAAAGCCAAATACGAAAAGCTTTAATTAAAAAGTCGTTTCTCCGAATGCGTAATCCGGTCGCAGCCAATCATATTCAGTTTTGTGAGTAATTATCTTGGTACCCTATGCAATGGTGTTTATCACGTGTCACTCGGACATATATACAGTCACATACGAGTAGTCGTATATTATTATGACCGATCGTCTATTGTAATGGAAATAAGACAGACTAGATTGTAAAACATTCATACCACTGGTCAATATTACGTAATTTATAGTATACATTTATAGTAAAATTAAATAGACGCAGAGTTTCCACAATGTTAACACTAAACAATTAACGATTGTAGGAGAGGGTGGTATGTCTGTTCATTTCCACTTTCTTCGATACGCCGTTGCTTAATGTAATTCTAATTTGCAATTAGTACTATCAGGGACTGTTTTTCACTAGAGTTAAGTATTTTTTCTTCTGGTTATTATACAAATGCCAGTTGCACAGTCCATGTTTGAAGGTCGTACTTGTACGTGATATTATGTTAAATGGGTTGAAACGTTACGGCAACTCGAAAATAATCTTAGGGTTATCTATTAAAGAAGAACGGTAGCGGTATAATAGCACTGGGAAAACAACTTGTACTTCAACTGGGTTGGTAATGTTGGTTGGAAATAGAGTAGATAACGAGGGATTTTTGTTTACTTTCTGTAACCGGAGGATATTTGTGATTGTTTTTTTCTTTATTTATTTTGTGATCCTTTTCGTACGACAGACAGATGTGCGTGAGCCTAAGGCAATCAAAAGGTAATCGAACTAATGTTTGTCAATGTGCGATTGGTTGGATCGGGAAAAAATTCTATAAGTTACTTGTAAATAATATTTTTGTTGTAATATTACCAGAAATTTTATTTGAGTTTTGAATTTTAATTAAATTGTCACTAGGTACTATGTAAAGTTCAATAAAATCATATACACAAATTTTCCTTAATCACTATAGTTCAAAAGCATTTTACCTTTATTGTACCTCAATTCAAACAACTTCAAAAAAAAGAGCCATCATTTGTTTAAATGACATTTTATAAACTTAGTCTAAAAGGATTTGTTTTGAAAATACTTTTATTTTTAATAGAGTAAAATGTTTCAATGAGAATCAATAGAAAAGGTAAGCAAAATGTAAAGTAACAACACACTTTACTCGAGTAATTGTATGAATAATAAAATACTAATTTCTATTTAGTAGTTATATTCTAGAAAAATACAACAATAACAATGTATACAAACTTATTTTTTATAAACATCGAAAGATTAGTAAATATTAAAAATGAATAATAATGTTTAAAAGCAATTTTTAATGATTTTGACACATTTTCAATATACGTAATCTTAAATTATATATCATTTTCATAATAAACTTATTTTTTAGATGGTTATAAATTATTTATCTATTAACATCCATAAAATTTTACAGGATTAAAAATATTTTTAAAATATAGCTTTTTAGTGAAAATAAATAAATATACTTTTTAATAATAACTTATGGATACTTTGGGAAATTATTCTGAAATCGTGAAAAATATGATCTGGGTGTAAATAAAAAAGTCTATCAATATGTATAAATTCAAAAGAAATGAATAGTTTAAAATAGAAAAATATCTTATTTTAGCACTTTTGTAACTTTATTTATATTAACAACTGATTGTTTACTGGGAAATACTGATACCCGCTCAAAATAATTAATTACAGTTGTTATTCAATTCGATGTATATTTTTATACTATAAATTTTTTTATAAACAAATATTTTTTATTATATGAAAGTGGGGTAGTAAAATAAAACTAAAATTAAGTTTTGGATGATAAAATACTTTAATGTTACTCCATTAATGTTTGTTATTACCTTGTTGTTATAAAATTCTTAAGATGTAGCGTAGAAAATATAAATAATAGTAACTTTTATTTGATTCCTGAACATTTTTGATATTTATTAAAGCACAATAAGATTTTGTTAAGTTATTATAGCCATCACTTTAAGAGCTCCACCAAAAGATTTTTTTAGAGGCAATACATTGTTAAAGGTAAAATATTTAGAAATTCTTAATGTTCTAATTTTATTTTAATTTCATAGTACAATTTAAAAAAGTATATTTTGACATTTATTTATTATTTTAATATACTTTAATTATTTTTATGAAGACAAATATAACTAAAGCAATAATTTTCTAATTAATTAATTTCATAAACTTTTGCATGTTAAATACATTTTTAATATTACTGAATATTTTCAATTGTGTTATTCAGAAAAAACAAAACTGCAAAAATAAATTATTTTAATTTAATAGAATAATTTTTCTAAATTGCATTTTACAGTAGCCCTAAATAAAATGTAACGGGTAAAATGTATTTTATCATCATGAGCCCAGTAATGTAAAAAGAATACCCTTAAATTAATAATTCAGTCCGTTTTTTAACTGAGTACATCATAATCATTTACATTTTTTATTATGTAATAAATTACATTTTTTTCGTTATAACTGACACAGTAACCATATGTAGTTATTTCAACAAAATTATTTAAGTGTTTAAAGACAGATTAAGTACCGTTAAATAGCTATTTAACGAAAAGCATGACAAATAAACAAACAAATTCCATGAATTAAATTTTAGAAACTGTTATTGAGAACATTTAAAAAGAAAAATAACATATTTTCGTTGGTTTGGGTAATGTACTGATTGTTGCAATGATATTTTTCCTTACGAATCGTTTTTGAAATACAAATATATTGAATGGGGCCTATTTATTTGAGACAGTATAACATTTTTCAATATAATTCATTGTCAAACAAAGACATCCACGTGTAAATACATTTTATCGTAAACTAAAATTGTACATAAACAACTTATAGACAAACTGAGATAAAACTAGAATATCTCATACCAAACGGATTTTTCCATTGTAATGGATTGATATCGCCAGGAGTATTGATGCAAATTGATGATATCACTTCGAATAGTTTTCTATGATAAAATAGTAAATGGAACGTCTTCTTACTTCAAATTTTGGATGTTCAACCTGACTACACTTTGAACTCTGTGTCATTTTTTTAACTTTAAATTTTAATCAAATTCGCCTAAAATGTGAATGAACATAAATCAAATATATACAGGGTATTTAGTAAACAAGCAATCGGATAAATTATTACAAACAATGAGAACAATAGAAACCCTTTTTCTTGCACACTGAACACTCTATATTTTTATATATTGGTGATATATACTCACACATCATTTTAAAGTTCTAAAATATCTCATCACTATTTTTTTTATAAATAAAATAAAATATATCTGTAATATAACTTAAAATTACACGATGTATATAAATTTATTTGGAAAGACATTCCACAGACCTAGTATTGTCCCCTTGAACAATTGTAAAAAAAAACCTTCTCTTGTTTTTAGGTACATAATTTATGCACAATTTGTCCAACCAATATTAAAAAACAAAAAGAAAACTTAAATAAACATTTTTAATATCTGTTCTCTTTGTATGAAAGAGTTAGATGTCACTTTTATAATCTGACGAAAATAGTACCAAAGTTTTGGTTATCCATATACTTGGTATTAAAATTGAATAAAGCCTTAACGATATATTTTTTCTCGTATAGAAGTGTATTATTTCTACTTGATACAAAAAGTTTTTAATCTACAATTAAATATGAATATTTATTTAAAATATTTTTAGTAAAAATAAGTATTGGCGTAACTGAATCCAAATTTATTTTAAAAAGCACACCAACATTTAATATGTACACTGTTGTGTACATAATTATTTATTTCAAACAAAATTGTATATTTATACAGGTTTTTCATTGTTCGCTAACATAATACATTCTAAAAGAGTAAATTTTTAATAGGAAACATTGAATAGACAATTTTTTATCTATCTTTAACTGTAAAAAAATCATTAAATGAATTTAAAACATTTTTAACATAATTATATTTTATAGATTTGCTAATACACTAGCACATACAAATTTAAATAAATGAATTCACTTAAATAGATGAACTATAGATCGGACAAAAATATTAGAAGAACTAAATTGTTTATAATTTGTTTTGATTAAAATTAGTAATTATAGAAAATTACTAAAATCAGAAACCCTAAAAAAAAATTATTAAACTTTATACAATAAAGTAAAATTTTGTACATAATATTTTTTTCTTTACAAAAATGTAGAGTTCTCAATAGATTCTGAAAAAGCAAATGGCTTATCAAATGGAGTTATTCTATATATTGAGTATAAAGACTTCATTTAAATATGCATAGTTAATTTTTTAAATATATATTATACAATTTTTTTTGAAGAAGTTGCATTAGAATCTTTTTAACTTTGAAATGACTTGTTAGTATAAAATGATTCATTACAAATGTGTAAATTTTTTTTTAAAAATTGGGGTAGTTGGGTTTTGGTTTATCAATTATTGTTACTTTATACTCCTATGATATAGACGTTTATTTGTATATTATCCGCTCTAAAAATTGTTTGTAATCCAGCATTTTTGAATAGCTATATACTAATTACACAAAGAGGATAAGTCTCAAGTACTAGTTATTTTTTCAACACGAAATATAAAAGTTTTAATTTAAGCTACTTTTAAAGATATCATGATTTCTAGAACATTCATAAGTTATGTAAAAAATGTAAACTTATATAAAATTTTATATTTATTATCTCCTTCGGTGGATTAGTAGGGGCTAGATTTCCAAAAATATAATGTCAAATGATAAAACCTTTTTTTTAGGTATTTTCAAAAGAAAATTTTTTGATTCATACATTTTTCTAAAAGTTAGAGTAATTAACTATAGAGTAAATAAACTAAAACAAAAATTAAAATGTAACAAAATTAAAAAAAAATTATATGATGAGAATTTCTCCTAATTACGGATTCATAAATTTTTTGAAATTTTGGTAATGGAAAGTTTAATTAAATACAATTTAAAGATATCTAATTAGAATTATTTATGTATTTTAATCACACTATTTCTAATTATTTTTGTTAAAATGACTCATATCTTTAATTTATATTTTTTAATAATATTATATTAATATTATCAATGTTATAATTTATATTATTTGACTTCTATAAACACGACATAGTGATTATTATCTCCTGGGATTACTTTAACTCATAAATTACTATTAAACATTATGTTCTACTGGTTGTATTTTATAAAATGATGACTTATATTATAATAAATTCATACAGAGTATTATAAAATATTTATGATTTCATACTTATGTGAAATAAATAATATTTTAAAAATAAAATCCTTTAAATGAATTTAAAATTTATTGCATAAATAGTTTTATGCGAACATTAAAAAAAAAATAGTCTTTTATAACATACATAGTATACTATACAATCAATATAATATGAATATAGTTTTATATTATTAAACTAATATTATATCACAAAATTTTTAATTATATCAATCAAGAATAATATATTTGTCTAATCCACAAGTATTCTATATTGTATTCCATTAATAGATTGAGAAAATGTTTAATTTATTTGCATTTTAGTATAGACCATTTTGGTATTTTGCCAAAAACTTCTACCACTCTACTTTACTTTCACTCCATTTAACCCTGACTACCAAAAACAATTTCTTCTACATTAATTATCACTATTACTTAAGAGTCATTTAATTATTTTAGGCCTTCACTGTTAATTTTTTTTATTTTACTTTGTTCGAGGATAGAAAAACTTAGTTTTCAATTTATAATTTATATAATTTATCAAAGTTCGATAGTTTAAAACCAGGAAATTTAACTTAAACTATCTAAAATGGTAATATTAGTTATTTACTGGTGGTCCACTCGCTATTAAACCAACTTAATCCAAATTGAATTACTTGAATCGATAAATTAATTATTTGTTTATGCTTTATAAATAATTGTTGAATGTTTTTTTTATGTTTAATTATTATAAATTTTCAATTCGAATAGAATATAATCCCAAAAGTTAAATTGATTGTGTATAAAAACTAACAAAATAAAATGATTAACTTATTATTTAACGCCACTTTGAGATTGTTAAGTCGATTCAACAATGAAAAATAAATGCTACCATTAAAAGTTACTGTGATCTTATTATATTTTGTTTGATTTGTACTGAAACAAACATTATCATTAGCTTAATAAACTATTTTAGTCGGTTAAGTACAATTTCACAGTATTTTGATTTTTATTTAATAATGAATATCGGCAAATATTAACTGTAATGTTATTATTTACCTCCAAACAGCCAACGTAACTGTCAACCATATAGATATTGTGTGAAACGCTTGTGAAAAACCAGAATGTAGTAGAACGAACAATGACCAATTGTACGAAAAACGATCGGATCGAGGATAATTGTCTGGTCGAAGATACATGTGATAAGCAAAAGGAACGTATTCGACCATTACTAAGAGATCAGCGACGGCAAGTCCAGTAAGTATAGCATTTGTCGGTGACACCATTTCCTTTCTTGTAAGTACAGCAATATTTAATATGTTGGCCACGGATCCAAAAGCACAAACCAGTAGGCTTGCGTATCCATGATATTGTTCGTATGTATATCTGAGGTTAACCACCATGTCTCCACAATACGGGCTGTATCCCATGGTCTCGTTGCTATATACCATCTCCGTTATATGGGCCACTGTAACAAGACACCATTATAGTCAAACAGAACTGCCAATGTGAACGTTTAAAAATATATTAAAGATGCATTTTAATTAGTTTTGTGGTCTCCTGAATTATTATAATAATATATTATAATTAATAATATGCTAATTAGACACATCCACTATGGCATCGAGATTTTTTTAGTTATTCATTATTACAAATTTGATTTTTAATAAATAATTTATTAAATTAGTTACAAGTTGTATTGAATGTTAGTTTATTATATAAGTGTATTAAATCACATATATGTGAGTTTTTAAAATGAACTGTATACAGTTCATTTTCTCATAGCTAAGTTACTAGTGAACACTAGTAACTTAATTTTAAAAACAGCCAAGTATATAATAGTGAAAGCTAAATGCAGTAATTCCCTTAAGCTTTTACACTTGAATCATTAATCTGTTATAAGTTTTGACTCCTGATTCTATACTAGAGACAACAAGATTGTTTCTAGTATCTTTTATTAAAAAAATGATTGGGGCAGTGTTTTAAAAAAATAGTTATAGCTATTATAAAATGCAGAAAATGTTTGTTGAAAAATAACCACTTTTTATGGTAGCGTAATTTTGATATATTTGTATAAATTTCTAAAATTGAGAAATTTTTTTCAATTTTTGGCCCTTATAGTTTCAGTTAGATAAATACGGGATTTTTTGACGCATAGTTCAACTAAAACGGTCTTGAAAAATATTACTATGTATATAAATTAAACATTAACTCAAAATATATGATATAAATTAATTATACGTTTTACATACATATTTTTGTGTATTAATATATATTAACTAATATATTTCACTTTTAAGAAAAAAAAAAAATTGTTGTATTCACTATTTATTATATATTATAAAAATCTTGTTTTCGCAAATTTTATGACAGTTTGGATGATTTACGATAAAACCAAAACTTAGCCTGTACCTAAAAATATCTAAATAAATATGTTTAATATAAAGCTTGCAAACTAAATTATAAATTTTAAATTAAATATTTCAAGCTAAAAGTTTTAGTTGTTTCTCAAAAAATCATAAAAATTGTTAATGTAATACGTTTTTATTCAATTTAAATAGTATCAGTTTTTTATAAATATTTCATTATAGAAGAACTGAATTTTTATAATAATTTTTTTTTCAATATGAATTTAATAGTTCTTTTATTTTTTTCGATATCTTTGGCAACTGTTACTGCCAAATTAGAATGCAATTACTCTCAATATATGTTGGATTATTTTAAACATAATGAAGTCTCATTATTAGAGATGGAAAAGTGTGTACAAGATATAACTGTAGACGACGTGCTTACTTTTAACCAAGCTGTTCAGACTCACGATATAATTGTTTTGTGTTTTTTAGAAGACTTAAAAGCAAAAAACCATTTCACTTCATTTGATTTAATTTCAGTAAACCTATACTTAAATAACATTGGCAATCATTTGAATATAGTTGAGAAGGATAATAGTATTAATCAGGAACAACCACATCCAGCTCTTAGTTTCTATAATGAGGACTCTAAAGATTTATATTGGAAAACTCTTTTAATTAATGGTTCAAAAATTATTTTCCGAATATTAATTGAACGATTAGAACACCAAATAAAAATAAATTGTAAAGATGTAACAATTTCAAAATCAAATTTCTTTGTAAAATCAAACGTAATGAAGCCATATTTACCAAGTGACTTACTTGTTGTAAATAAAAACCTTAGAGATGAAACGATAACAAAATTTTCTGATATCACTAATAGTTCTAATTTAAACTTACATCCAAAAAGATATTTTTTATACCATATTTTTATGTATGATTTTTATGGTTATACTCAAGAGGAATTCAAAGAAAATTATTTATTAAAACAAAAGCAAAAAAATTTAAATCTAATTCGATTGACTCCTCTTAGCTATAAATGTTCCAATGGAAAAAATTTAACTCTTTTTGAATTAAGTTTTTATATGTATCATACTTTTAATGTAGAAGATCTAAAAATATTCCAAAAAATTGTCTTTGTAGCTTTTTTCCGTCCAATAGCAATACTTATTCGTAATTTTATTATTGTCGCCAAAAAAATTTCTTCTATCGATACCGATAAGAAAAATGCATCGGAATTAAAAGAAAAAATAGTTGTAATGGGTTACAGTATTCATTATTATATATACAAATTCATAAAGTATACATGCGATCTACCAAAAAATAGAAACATACATTTTATGAGAGCATTAGCCACAGATATGTTTAGTCTTGTTTCTAAATACAAAGAATACTATTCTCAAAATCTTGATGAACAATTGGCTGATAAACTTATGAATACGATTAGGAACATTATGATTCTTAGTAAAATAAAATTTTCTACAAAGTTAAAATTAAATACAATTGAAACGATAGATGGCAATCAGGTTATTGAACAAGCCATTTGTATACTAAGGGAAGTAGAAAAGTATATCATGGAGTTGCAGATATGGAAAGATGATTTAAATGACGTGATGGAAAATCAAAGTCTTATAAATAGTTTATATGATTCAAATAAAGAAGAATTTTTAACTACTGACATTATAAGTAAGTATAAAATTTATCTACATTAGAATTTATATAACCATATATTTTTATTTTTCATACAAAGGAAAGTAGATATTTTTAAAATGTATATTCTTTGAGAAATATTTATAAGAAATATAGAGTAAAATTCAGTTTCGTTTTTTATTAGTTAACGTTCTAAATTAATTGGAAAAAAACATTTGATTCCTTCATTATATAAAGTGATCGACTTTGGGCAAGATACTCAGAAACTACAATATTATGCATTCAAATTTATTTTTCATCTTTTAGGGATAAAATATCTTAAATTCATTTATTTTAATGGGAACATTTATTTTTGAACTTGATAATGTGATTACCAAAAATTGACTAGTAATTTTTTTCTTATATTTTAGCTTCGATGCGAAGCTGAGAAGGTATTGGTTTTACTAAGATGTGTTTATTTTTTTTTATTTATTTTTTTTTGTGTCTGTTACCACTTTTTCTCAGCTCTCACCGAACCAATTTCTTTCAATGATACGTCAAAAGATCACAAATTGTATCTAGTCGAAGACATTACCCTCAAAAATTGAAAAAAATGCCCTCGTTCCCCGTAAATGGGGGAAACCTCCAAAAAAATTACAAATTTAAAAATCGCTAATTTTCGAAATTTTTTCAATTTTTTTTTCTTAAAAGTGCCATAACTTTTTCAAAAATAAACATATCAATATAATTCTTTTTTATATAGATGCATAATATTATTGTCTTTCATTTGGTATATTTTTTTCATAAATTTAACCCTTAACCTGCCCACAAGGGGGGATTTAAAATGACAACTTTTTCACAAAAAATTAACTTTTTCAACTTAACTTTTGAAAATGTTCCGGAAGGTCTGATACTTTTATATATATCTTAAATTAAAGCTAATGTAATATACTTTATTATGCAGAAAAAAAATTTCGGACTTTATTTTATCTTCACGGTGAAAATGGCTACCGAATGCTATTATTGTGTGAAAATTCTCGATTTTATTTTTTACATTTTTAACTTTATAATGCTATGACATATTGAAAAGTGTATGGATCAACATTATTTTTTTATGAGAAATAATATTTTTTAATAATCCCTTTTTCATTCTACATACTTTATCTTAATTAGGATATTAATAATGAACTATCAGATCATGAAGCTTTTGGAATAGTCCACCAATTTTTTAAAATTAAACACTATCTAAAGATTTGCATCGAAGCGTTTTTTTTTTATAGTGATTTTAATCACTGTCAGATATCATTATACTTGATCCATCTATACCACGTCACCACTGTGCCGCGACCCCCCTGTGCTGGGTTTTTTTTTTATCCAATTAATAGATCTTCAGTAATTTACTAAAGTATACTTAATTAAATTACTGATGATGAAAATATTAATAAGAATAAAAATTACGATTTATATAATAACAAGTTTGGTATAAATTAAGTAACCATTAAGATGTTTGTCTACTTTTGTCATGATATTACATTTAGGTTGATCGATTTTGGGTAAGTCACTCATTTTCTCAGATATTACACAATTTTTTTTTTCATCCGATAAATAAATCGTTCTTCTGTTTAGCATATTAAAGTTCAATAATTTGCGATCAAATTGCTAGTAACATTTTGTTACTCGCAAATTAAATAAAAATAATAAATTGTCTTCGTTTTAATTATATCACGTAAATTAGTTTGTAATAACTAAAGTATTATCCAAAATATGCAAATCTTAAATATTCATATTTATTAATAGACGAATACCTTTTTATTCGTTAAAAGTTAACTATCGTACATTATATGTCACCCGTGTGATAATTTAATTTGATATTTACATAAGCCTTACACGTATTCAAATTTTTATCTCTAAAGGAAAATGTTTGCAGTACAACTTTTGAGATCTATTAAATAGATATTTTAGATATACAGAGTGATAGGTTTACCTTAAAATACTCAATTACTTTCAAAATACAATAATGAAAAAGAAATGTTGCTTTTTTAGTTACATATATTTAATTATTTATCAGCTAATAATTTCTTTTCGAAATCACCTCTTATAATAACTTATAAGGGTGTCAACTTTATTTTTTTTAATGGCAACATATATATTTAACTAACTTATAGTATAGAAAACAATCTAGTTAAGAAAATGACTTGTTTATAACAACTTTTGGACCAGTACTTTGGATGTTATACTTATTTTTATATCTAGAACGAAGAGTATAAGCAGGAAATGGCTAGTTTAAAAAATAGCAATAACCCCTCTTTAACTTCAGACAGTACTTTAAATTGTTAAAAAACTTCTAAAATACTGGTCTACATGTTATCAACAAGACAATTTTTCAATTACATCATTATTTATTAAATAAGCTTGTTAATTGTGTGCATTTCCTTTTGAAAAAATAAAGTTGACACTTCTATAAGTTACAAAGGATGATTCTAAAAATTATTTTCTAGCTGATAAATCAAGAAACATATGTAACTAAATAAAACCATAACTTTATTTTTAATATTGTATTTATTTTGCGAGTAATCGAGTAGTTTATGATAAACCTATCATAAATATTAAAATTGATAACATAAAACTGATAGCTCTGTATAGACAAAATTTCAATTATAATTGTTTTAAATGTTGTATGTATATTAAATATGTTTTTTATTCTATTAATGAAAATTGATTCAATTACATTAATAATTATAGTATATTTTTTTTATTAGATTATTTATGTCATAGAAGTTTTCATGGTAAAAAAAATGAGGTATTCACAGATAATCTCAACGTTGGACTTTTTGAAGAAGATAGTAATAAGGATAGTGTTGATGATACAGTATACATTGACAAAGAGTTTGTATTAGATGAACTTGTAAAACTAGAATTAAATGAAGACAAAATGTGGTCAAATAAATTATTTTATACACCTAAACATTTAATAAATTACATCCGTTATCATTAATAATTCTTAATTTGTAAATCATAAGAAAAATCTCCAAATACAACATAGCTTTTCAAGGTATATTTTGATAAATGTTCATCATATATTTACCATATAATATTCACCATTTTGATATTTGAATAACAAATATCTACTTAGATATTTATATACTTTTTTTTTTTTTGTTTAAAATAAAACTATATTCAATAAAAATAAACTATTACAGTAAAATAAATTATTTTGTTTTATTTTTTAATCCAAGTATAATCAGTAGCGGCTCGTGACTTGGACGACAGGACCATCGCACCCCCTACTAAAATTAATTATAAGAATTAATTGTATATTCTAAATTCCACATTTTTATTAAAGATGCAAATATTTTAAATAGTAAAATAGTTATAATACATTTGTCGTGAGCGAACATTAAAGTTGTTTCCCTCATTGTATGCGGGTTTGCATACACACACGAGCAGTGTTTCGACAACCGGCAGCGACATCCATACAGTAAAATATTAGTAAATTGGGTAATTTATTTTTAGAATTAACTACGTGTACGCTCGTCGTTATCGGTTGCTATAATTGTGTAATCGCTATTAATATCATTTCTATTTTCTACTACAACCTTTAAAATAATAACATGTGTATTGTGTTTTATTTTATAATATTTAATTTGATAATTTTTTATACCTTAACTATCGGTATTATATTTAAAGTCGCACCCCCACCACCAGCACACACGAGCCGCCACTGAGTATAATATTTAAATTACATATTTTAAGGACCTATTAAAAAAAAAAAAATAACAGTAATAAGAATAAACTCAAAACTTGTTTAGATTTCAATTAAAACCATCATTAAACCAAACCTTTGAATAATATCATCACCATAATTGATATATCTGAATTAATTGACACAGTAAACAATAAGACATCTAATGTTTCGTTTATTATAAATCCAAAGTATATAGATTAAAAAACATAATATTTTTTAACCATAAAATATCTATTTTGTTGTTTAAAATTACTGTGCAAAATTATTTAAAAAAAAAAAAAAGAATATTCGAAGAAAATAATAATTCATTAATCAATAATTTAAATTAGATATTTTATAATGTTGTATTGAAATTTATTGAAATGCTGTGTAATATTTAATTCGACATTTATTCAGGTGTTAATATGCTAAAATTATTTAAAATATAAAAAAATTTTAACTCAAAATAACCTACAAAAAATATACGTATTTCGTAAACAATGTTAACATTATCAGCGTTAATCACATACACAGAAAACATATAACTTAATATTATTTAAAATTAATTTTTATTTACATAAAATAAAACTAATATTTTAAATATATGTTTAATTTTAAATTATATTAGTCACAAGTGACCAATTCTTTTTATTTAACATATTTTTAACATATTTATTTAACATTAAATTATAAAAATAATTTCCTGGCCCAAGTGACGCATTTTTATAAAACTAAAATAGTATATAAAAAATTCATAACGATAATCAGATCACGTTTTGTAATTATACAAAAAATTAATTAATTTTTCATCGTAACTTCTATTGTGATTACCAACGCGATTTCATATTATTGTATTCTAATGCATAAATAATTAATACTATAAATACCAATGGCTATAGAAAAATTAACTTAAAAAATATAATCTTTTAAAATGAACAAATATATATTATTTTAAGACTTTCTATATTGTGAGCTAATAATCAGTAAATTTTATTTTACTTATTGAATATTGTGCCCTCTAAATAACATTTTAAATTAAAATTACGAATTTAGAAAAGGAGATATGTCTTATTAAAATTTATTTAGCTTTAATTACACATTTATAAGCTGAGTAATATAGTGTAATATGAAAATATAAGTTATATAGCATTCTAGGTATTTGAATAAAAAAAAGGTTTCAATGATTAATGAACTATTAGTTGGCGTGATATAAATTAAAATGGTAACAAAACTCAACTTAACTATTTAGTAGTTGTAATATCTGACAATATTGTAATATAGTAATATTATTATAGTATACTATCAGATACCTCATATTAAAAGATGTATTGTAACTAGTGGTGTAAATTTTAATGAATACTTTTGAAAACGTATTGTTTCTCTTTTAATACTTACTATTTATTACCTTTTTATTAAAGATGTAATTTAGAGAAATTTAAAAGAGGGCTCCAAAGTCTTTAACAGTCGCTGTTAATTATGACAATTACATGTAAATTTAAATAGAAGTATTATAAAAGAGGGAAAAAATTACATTGAATCCACTGCTGCAAATTTTGTTCAAATTGTGCATTTGTTTCCCAATATCTATAGCATATTTATAAATACCTATAACATATTCTTTGTTTAATCCATTTAATGTATTTAAATTGAATAAATTAATGCAGCTTCTATTATTATATTATTTAAAAATAATGCGACGATAAAAAAAATGTAATTGACTTAATAAAATTAATACCATAAATAATTAAAAAATACAATTATTTTTTCAAATAATCTAACCATATTTTTTGTAAGCTATTTTTTCATAAAAATTTAAAAATAATGTTCACATGAATATACAGAATGATTGATTTATCGTTGGTAATTAGACTTCTTATAAAATAACAACAATTTTAAGAAGTTATTTTAAATTAGTTAAACAAGTTGGATTAACAAAAAAATTTAACATCTAATTAGAGACAGTGATATTAGGCATTATAATTAGCAATTTATAAGTAAAATTTTATTAAATCCATATAAAATTGATTATTTATTTTTACTAAGCAACTCTTGTATGATGTTCTGAAAACCCTGATGACTTGTACATAATAAGTTTATTTGACAAGAGAATGTTGGGATGTGACCATGAACATATACAGGCCAATATTAATTTGTTTGGATTTTGACCTAAAATTTCTAATTTATATAAAATTTTAACTGAAATAATCATTATTAAATATTGACATATAATTATATGTTCAAACTTAAATCAATTTTTCTTCTAATCAAAATAAACAATGTTTGTTATTTAGTATCTATGTAAGCTTTTTAGTTCGAGTTAATGTTAAAACAATCAATAATTAAAAATATTAAACTTGAATTATTCAAGTTTAATATTTTTAATAAAACCTTTAATTAATTTATTTTTTCAGTATTTGATGGACATAAAATTCTTAGTTTTATGCTTTTGTCAAGCTTATTATTTAACCGTCATGTTAAAACAAGTTTAAATCTTATTTTTAATTTACTTGATGTGTTTTGTCCGTCAACAATATTCTTATTTTAAATTTAATTAATTTTGCATATTACATATGAATAATGCCTAAGCAAACAAAAATTAAAGAAAATCGTTTTATGTAACAAAACTTAACTTGTCAATTGTGTTATATTATTTACAATACTTAATAAATTGTGTGTGTTTTTGTATTCTCATTATTTCTTTAGTGTTTTTAATGCATTGTTTTCGATTATAATTAAATATGTTAAATAATCTTAAATTTAAAAAGGGCTAATATTACAAACAAAAATATAAAACATAATACCAGAGTTTCACAATTTACAAAAGTTTGTCCAATGATTTCATTCTAATATTCAGTGCATTAAATTAACAGATAGTTACCCCAAGACAATTGGTCATCATTATTTAAGCCAATGAATGAGTAAAAAAATAATGTCTAAAACTAAATACGTATAAAATGATATAATGTTTATTATAGGAAGGTTAAAATTTTCAGTTCAATAGAAAATTAATTAAAAAATATTTTTTATATTTTGATTAAAATCCAATTGGACTCAACATTATTTTCACTTTTTAAATTGTGTTTATTTCCAAATTTGAGTATTTAGCCATATATTATGTATGATTGTTTTTCAATGTAAATAACTCTATTCAATACGTAATTTCGAACCTGAATGAATTCACCCGATAAAAATAATTAACTATGTTAAAAATGTATATAATAATTTAAATCATAACTGTTTAATATCTTATAGTAACACGTATAGTCAAAAAAGCATTTTAAATTATGTATCACAGAATGTTGATATTTCAAAATAATAAAATGTTTGTTATTTTTTATTAATTTTTAAAAATGTATGTCTAGATAATATCGGTTGTCATGCTGATAATTATGTTAAAGTAGTTAATTAAATAATAATAATAATAAGTGGTGAAAACTGTAATCACGAAAATATTTATATCAAAAATAAAATAACTTGTATTATTTAATTTTCCAGAAATTTTTCTAAGCATATTAGCTAAGTTATAAATTAATGTATTGTGTATTAATTTAAAATACGAAGAAAAATATTTAATTATGGTTATATGGTGTTTCAATTTTAATAGATTTTATTTTTAACTTATTTGTTTGAATAAAAAATCAGGTATATAAAAGAACAGTGCTTGGAGTAACAAACAGTTTTAGAATATTGTTAAACATCTACAGTTTGCTTTTTTTAGGAAGTAAATAATTCTTGATGATTTTGACATTAAGATGACAACAGTAAAAGCTCGAAGCTATACGATTTTGTTTTTCAGACAGTCGTATTGTTTTAATATTCTATAATATGTTAAAAACAGGCAAGGCAGTAGATTTTATATTGAAGTAAAGTATAGTGTTCCCAAAAATGTATTTGCTGTCATAAAAACGATTTCAGACTATACTTAGTTTGTTGACTTCCAGTCTCTGCCTTTTTTTTTATTTCGTACTAAATTATTTACTGTATAACCTTTTTCTATATATAAAATCTTTCTTATTTAATTTGAAATATACTTAAATTAAACTGTTATTTATCTAACTTTTACATTTTTAAAATCATGTTTAAAACCGTGAGATTTAACTTAAGCAATTAGTAATTTCATTACTGCATTATATTTTGGCAGAAGCGTATAATTGATTTGTAATTTATAAAAATAAAAAAATACAAGCTGTAATTTTTTTTTAATTTTTATTTACTATGCTAACTATTAGAGGGACGGTATGGCAGAGTCAGTAACGCTGCAGTGTTTGATGCGCACTGTCTCGGGTTCGAAACTCGGTCACGGGCAGCTTTATTGGCCGAATAAGAGATCAGTTCGGTAATTGGAGTCGCCATTCCTATCTCCGGCGACAGACTAACTACCCGTGTCTTGGAGTCTTTAATGGGCCGATAAAGCGATAAAAAAAAAAAATACTAAATATTAA